CCACACCACTGCCTCCCCCTTGACTGCCCCCATAACCTCCCCCCTGCCTCTTGCCTACAGTGGTAGGGCGGGATGAATTTAAGACAATTTTCCAATAATTAGATTCTATGCATGGAAAATTGTAACAAATGTATACATTTTCAATTAACAGAATCTAATTATTGGTGGGTCATCTATTCAGATAAATGTGGTACATTCATACATCATATGTATGTATATGTGCATGTACAAGTATGTTGTGCTGGTATGGCTTCAAGTCTCCTATGGCAGCTGTACATAATCCTATTAAGGGTGTCGTTACCTGTAGCTAAGGAAGATGGGGGTTTTTTTTCCAAGTCTAGGTCTTTGGAAAGAGAACACCTGAATAATGGAAAGCTCTCAGGGAACGAAGAACCTAATTGGGCAAATATATAAGAACAATGAAAATCATTAACTTTACTTCTTAAAAAGAGTGCGAGTACTCCTTCACACACAGGTGTACAGTATAAAATATGCTGAAGTGTTAGGGAAAAGAAAAAGGATTAAAAGCATACTGCAACTACAGTAAGGAGGAATATTAACGTGAACATAAGAACATGAAGCACAGTACATGGATAAACAGGTCACATGGTTTCTTGGGTATTGGAATGCTTCCTTGCAGCCTGCTAGTTCTTTGGCCTCTTCAATATCTATTGCTATAAACTGTGGTTCAGTTTAAGCACCGACATCCAGATGAAAAGATTAGTTGAAAAATTCTGACCAGCTGTAACTGGGTGTTACTCTGCTGGTCTGGGAGTGGTGGCAATGAGCAAGCAATTTTATTAGCATTTTGGGGAGGGGGGGCAGGGAGGAGGAATGACTTATATGGCATTTTATAAGTGGTGCAAGCTGATAGGCATTTACTGTGCACTTTTTTTTCTAAGCTGCTTCTCTATCCCCTGGAGCTGAGATATCCTTATGGGCACAGCAAATGGAGCTCCCTGAAGGAAAGGAACTGTTTAGCAAAATGAATGTTTATACCAGCAATAGGATACTGCACCTTCTCAAGGCCTCAACTCGAGGGCCACCATATCCAAAAACGTTAGCTGGTTATACAACATCACAACAAAATATCTTATCTGTGTCAAAGCCATTGCCTTCCTACACAAAAGGCTAGCTGACAGGAGGAACCAAAACAGACCAAGTGATCAATGAACTGCCTCTAAACAGTGACATGTGGGAGGACTTGTTGTAAGGGAACACTTTTGTGAACCAATGTGGGTACAGTTATATATTCCTTACTGTTAAATGCATTTAATCCCATTATAGACAACACATTTATTCATCCCCATTATGTTAGGTTAATAGACACCATGTATGCGGTCTTCCCAGCAGACACCAGGGCCACAAGGAATTCCTCTCTTTTTTATTGGAGGCTTTAACAGACACTGTACAGGTGTTATTCACACCTGAACATTCATGACTTCCAGACAGTTTAGCAAGGCCTTTGATACAGTCTCCCAAAACATTCTCACAGGTAAGCTAAGGAAGTATGGCTTGAATGAATGGACTGTAAATTGGAAAGAAAACTGGCTAGATCATCAGGCTCAGAGGACAGTAATCAATGGCTCAATGTCTAGTTGGCAGCCAGTATCAAGTGGAGTACCCCTGGGGTCAGTCCTGGGGGTGGTTTTGTATAACATCTTCATCAGTGACTTGAAAGATGGCATACAGTGCACCCTCAGCAAGTCTGCAGATGAAACCAAGCTGGGGGTAGTAGATATGCTTGAGGGGAGGGCTAGGATTCAGAGAGACCTTGACATATTGGAGTACTGGACCAATAGAAAAATCTCACAAGATTCAACAAGGACAAGTGCAAAGTCCTGCACTTAGGGCGGAGCAATCCCATGTACCAGTACTGGCTGGGGGCTGACTGGCTGGGCAGTGGCTCTGTAGGAAAGAACCTGGGGGTTACAGTGGACAATGAGTTGAATATGAGTCAGTGTGCCCTAGTTGCCAAGAAGGCTAATGGCATACTGGGCTGCATTGGTAGGTGTGTTACCAGCACGTCAAGGGAAAGTGATTCTTCCCCTCTATTCAGCACTGATGAGGCCACATCTGGATTACTGTGTCTAGTTCTAGGCCCCCCACTACAGAAAGGATATGGACAAATTGAAGACAGTCCAGCAGAGGGCAGTGAAAATGGTTAAGGGGACTGGGGGGCATGGCTAATGAGGAGAGGCTGAGGGAACTGGGCTTATTTAGTATACAGAAGAGAAGCCCAAAGTGGGATTTAATAGCGGCTTTCAAGTACCTGCAGGGGGGTCCAAAGAGGATGGAGCTGGACTGTTCTCAGCAGTGGCAAACAGAACAAGGAGCAACGGTCTCAAGTTGCAACAAGGGAAGTTTAGGTTACATATTAAGAAAAACTTTTTCACCAAGAGGGCAGTAAAACACTGGAACAGAGAGGTTGTGGAATCTCCGTCCTTAGAGGTTTTTAAGACCTTGCTAGACAAAGGCTTGCCTGAGATGATCTAGTTGGGGATGGTCTTGCTTTGAGCAGGGGGGTGGACTAGATGACCTCCTGATGTCCTTCCAACCCTAATTTTCTATGATTTTTTTCCCCAAGTGAGTCAATTTAAATCCTAGCAGTCCAACTTTCAGGAGCTTTCAGAACTCACAAAATGCAGTGGAAGTGAGAGTGGTTCTCAGCATCTCTGAAAACAGGACCCTTTCAAATGTGGTTTTCAGCTTCTTCGTCAACTGAGACCACTTTTCACTTATTGGAAAGGCTAGAAACCCTATGTGCTTTTCTTCTTTCAACTGATGACGTGCTGGTTGAGATTTTATGCAAGAAACCACCAAACGAGCAAAATTATGAATGTTTCTTAATGCTAGTTTAATTGCCTTCCTGTGTGTTTGTGTTTGCAGTAAAAATAAACGGTGGTCAGTAATTCTCTGAAAACCACATACACTGCACACCACAAAATGCCACAGAAAACTATCATGAATGGAACAAACCTGCCACACTAGCATACACAGAAGTGTCTTTGGCCAGAGTTCGTAACTGTGCCTTTCTCGTAAAAGGGGATTCAGCAGTACAGACGTTACAACCATGTTCTGTGTGTGAAGCCATCAGTCAGAAATCACTGGGGAAAAAAGTAATGCGGCCATTTATGTAAACCAGAGCTCATCTTGTGAATCTACGTGCGTTTCCTTTCCGTTCCCACATGACATGCAGTGAATGCACGATTCCACACGGGTATACTGGTCAGGAACTTAGAGGAGGACTTGGCATGCCTAATACTTGACAAGGTCTCTAGATAAGCCTGAGTCACCCTTACTATTTAGTGACAAGCTTTCCAATAACACTCATCAATATAGTACTGACACACATATACCCTGTGTACAGAAACAATCACCCCTTTGCACATGCATTAAAATACCAGACTACCGAGGACAATTGAGTGTTTTTAGTACAAAAAAGAGATAGAGCAAAGTACTGGAGTGTATCCCAAGATATGAGAAAGAGAGTCATTGCTCTAAATGCAATGGATATGCATGAGGTATTGGAGAAAGCTGTGACCTTGCATCTACTGCATGGCCAAATCTGAAAGCTTAGGTTCTTGACATGCATTTATGTAGGATCTTAAAAGAAAAACCTTGGCTGGCATTTGGGAGGATCCCCCCTTATGGATGGAAAAACTCACCCTAACAGAAGACTTTCTAGACCCCTTTTGATTTACACATACAGACACACACACAGAGCAACAGGAGCAGCTACTCTTCTCACCGTTCAGAGTCTGATCCGCTCCTAGCACATTCCATTCTGCTGGCAATTTCAGATGTCGAAATGCCAAAGCCACTTTCTCATCCAGAAAATTCAGGTCCCCAGACGGCGGCCTTGACCGATCCAGGAATCTTGTGAAGTTCAGTGCTTGCTGATTCCCAGCGCAGGTTGCTAGGAACTGAGCTGCATCATAGGCCTCATCCTGAATGAACTGAAACCTGTCCTCTGCCACCACCAGAATAGGAAGCCCTTCCTTGGAGGCACAAAGCTCCACTTTCACCGTCTCGCAGCAGTCATGGCCTGAAAAATAAAACCAAAGAAATGAACATAATGATAATAGAGAAAGAGACTGAAGAGAAATGCGTCTGAACAGTACAAGATCCTATGAATTAAATCATGCATGAGATACCATGATATCTATATCAACCCATATAATAGTACTTGACGAACTATAGAGTAACAAAAGACCTCCTGAACAGGACTACTCTATTCATATTATTCAGAATCACATAATCAGAGGGTTGAATAAGGATCTTTCCTCAGATTTCTCCTCTCCAGAACTGAATCATATTATAAAAATTATAAAGATTATAAAATGTTCCCTATGTCCACAGATGAATAGGACAAGTAGTAATGGGCTTGCTTTGCAGCAAGGGTGACTTAGACTTGCCTCCAGGAAAAATGACAGTAGCTATATAGTAGTATTAATTGCCATTAATGTGTTAATTTGATTTTGCACTAATTTGTTTTTATGTATGTTAATCACTGCTGGCGGTGGGGCAAAAGCAGCCCCTTTCCCCTCGCTGTTGCATACCTGCCTGTTCTGCAAAAGCAGCCTCTCTCCCGTCGCTGGTGTGTGTCTGCCTGTGCTGCTGAGGGAAAAGCAGTCCCTCCCCACTTGCTGCTGCCCAAACAGACACAGGCATGGTTCTGGGAGCAGACTCATCAGCTGGATGCAGGTAAGTGTATGGGGGGACAGGGGTTGGAGGACCAGGTCTTGGGACTGTCTAGGATTTGTGTATGTGTGCACACATCCAAAAATATTTATTATAAAGTTGGGATTCTATTATTGTTTAACCGCATGATTAAAATTGCAATTAAATCACAACCGTTTTTTAAGTCTCACGATTAATTACAATTAATATTTTTAATCATTTAACACCCAACTATATACATAATAAACCACTAGACAAGATTACCTAGGGAAGCTGTGGATTCTCCATCATTGGAGGCTTTAGAGAGCAGGTTAAACAAATATCTGTCAGGACTAGTTAGGTTTGATCCTGTTTTGGGAAAGAGGAATGGTCTAGATCAGTGGTTCTCAACCTTCTTTGTACCAGGACCCATTTGTAAGCACCAATGGCCAGTCCTTACCCAGTGCCCCTCATTCCCAACCCACTGTCCCCTGCCCCCAGCCCCTCAGTGTGTGGGGCAGGGGGTAGGTGTGTGAAGCGGGGGTGGGAGGGAACCCTGCCAGCCTGCAAGAGAAAAGCCACAGTTTCCCACATTTTTCTCCTTTAAAATGAGAATCCATTTTTAAAGTCTGATCCATTTTTAAGTTGGTTCATGACCCTTTTGCAACTTTTGGGTTGCAACACGTGGATTGAGAAACACTGGTGTAGATGACCTCTTGAATTCCTTTCCATTCATGGTCGCTGTGAGTCATGGGAGTAGACTCCCTTCTATCACCAAAAGGCCATTTCAAGACCACTAATGGACTCAGGGAAAAATGCTCAAAGGTACCAAGGCACCTGAGTCCCTAGTGAAAAAGTCAGGTGCATCTGGCACAGAACTCCCATTAGGACTTTTACAATCAAACCCCACAGTTCAACAAAAATCATATTTCTAAAAACGTTTGAAAGATGCCAGGAGCCCATCTGAAGTAGAGAAAGGAGCAGGTGTTACAAAGCTACATATTGCATCGGTGGTTAGACCTTCAAAAATTTTGCCCAAACAACAAAAAAGCAACAATTACAAAAATAGCATAGCCTGCTTCAAATACGCTGTGTATACGTGATCAGGTCTCTTATTCAGCACCTGCCATTTGGATTTGGTTTCACATGGCAGAACTAAGCTTGCTGCATTCTGGAAAACAAGGAAATTGCTTCTTTTCATATTTATTAAAAAAAAAAAAAAAGCAACTTATTTTCACAGCTCTGCTAACTTCTCATTTACTTATTTTAATGAAAGGCTGGCCCAGCGGGGCAGCAGTTCCACAGCCCCAGAAAATTCCAAATAAACTTCCTTGCAATTTACAAGGGGAAAATATATCATCTTTTCAGCATGACCAGCATTTGTATTTGCCAGACAAGCCCCTTTAATAACACGGTTGGTGTTTCAAGTTCACTGTTCTCTGCAGTCTCTTTCTGTCTCTTGCTCCAAAGCTAGACCGACGTCATTGCTGTTTTTGCCAGAACAGCATGGACCCTTCACTAATTACTGGAAAAGCTTCTTTCTCTACCAATGATCTCAGCATCTTACTACGTTGATCAAACCCTATTTATTTATTCTTTATTAAATATACGGGACGAAGGAATTTTTTTTTTTTTATACACAGGCTTGAAAATGCCATTTACCCACATACCAGTGGTGAGCAGGAAGTCTTGCCCTGGTGGTGTAGGGGGTCTCAGCTCTTCCATTCACTTCTAAAAGAAAAATATGTTCCCTCATCTTTGCGGTGGCAAAGAGAAACTTTTCAGTCGGATCCAACACTTCTGCAGCTGTTCAAAGCTTTGTCAAGCAGTAGCAGAACTGTCACTCCATTTTTCCTACTCGGGGTTTTGTGGAAGCAGTCAAATTGTCAAGCACCATATTAACAGAACACTACTACTTAAGAAAACGATTGGCAATTGAGACCGTTTACAAAGGCCTCCACAGAAGAGGAGGTTATAAAGAAAGAGGGGCTGCCAGGGAGGAAGAACAGCTGAAACATCTCTTTACAGCCCCTCAGAGATGCCAGAAGGCTCTGGTTTTGGGGAATGAGGCTTCGCACTTACCAGAAACCTACTAGCTGCCATGCAAGTGCTTAACTGCAGGAGAAGAGAAGACTGAATTCAGCACCATTTCAGAAAATGGTGCTCAGGACAAGGGCTGGAGCCTGGGCTGTGAAATGGTACAGATGGCGAAACTGGTCTTTTCACACCTGCAATTCAACCAGATCCAGCACCAGCTGATGATATCCATCACCAACAATAGGTTTATGAGGATAGGATAACGTAAGGCTAATTCAGGAGCTGAGGATAATACCCCAATAGAAATCTTAGCAGCACAGGTTGTAGGGGAGGGTAGAGGTGAGGTGCCTCACTAGGTTACTGCTCTTGGACTTCACTAGCCCCACCTTTTGTGTCTTCCTCAGGCTAGTAGGATTAGCAATCTACTTAGCAAGAGCCTAGTAAGTGAGTCTATCCCTGTTTCACAACAGGATGGATAAAATTGTACCTACCACAGTAATTACAGAGCCTTGACCCACAAAAAGCAGCTCAGGTCCTGCACGCTGCCTTAGAATCATAGAAAATGAGGGTTGGAAGGGACCTCGGGAGGTCATCTAGTCCAGCCCCCTGCTCAAAACAGGACCATCCCCAACTAGATCATCCCAGCCAAGGCTTTGTCTTCTCTAGTACAAACACTGATAGCACCTGGAGGTAGCAATTCACTAGCCTGTAAAGTTCAAAAACATTTCAGAATCAAAGACTCTCCAACACATACACACCCACACACACACACACACACACACACACACACCCACCCCTGAGATGCTGCTGCTATTTTTGAACTCTAATTTTCTCTTTTTTCCAGGAGTATCCCATCTTCAAGATGTGTGAGTTGACAGCCACCTGTCACTCAGATTTAAACAGCACTTCTTCCAGCACAGCCAAACAGCAGTTATCAAGTGAAAGCAAGCTGGTGTCCAGGAAAACAATTGGTGTCATTTGCTTCCACCGCCTCCTACATGAAACCAAGCGATTCTTCTACCTATCCGATACTGCTCACTGGCTTTTTAGTTTAAACAGTAACAAGAGAAATCCCATGTGGGATAAGTGGATTCCCACTGACAAATTAGCTGGCACGGCATTCAGGGTCTCATAACAGACGTCAACTAGCCATGCAGAACAAACGTTCCCATGAACAGAAGAGAGGAGCGAGCCCCAAATATCAGGATTACTGCACCCAATTTAAAACAAAACCATATGGGTATTAAGCGTAGCACAGGGGGAAGCAACCAGACTTTGTGTGTTGGTTGGCGGCCAGTCATGGTCTTTTGGAACTCCCACAAATATCCAATGTAGCTTTCAAAGGGAGGTGAGGGAGCTGACAATTCATTTATATCTAATAGGATCAAACAAGTGTTCTGCTAAACCAAGGGGAATGTTCTAAAGGGCAATGTACCCTTTCCCCTCAGAGGCTTTGATGTCCTCCTTCCCTACATCTGACAAAATGTCAGAGTCAGGGTGAAAGTCTGGGACAGGTTCTGACTTTGGCAAACAGTTCAAAAGCAAGAGGAGCAATTAAGCAAGGAGCACAGCAAATACTAAGATTGCTCAAGAGCTCTCTGCCCCCTGCTTTGAAATGTCTTTGGAATGGTGCATGCAAGTACACTTCAGATACATGAATACACATAAACCTTGTGAAGGGACCACTGGCAGTGGGAGAAAATTGCTCTCGGCTTCAAAGACCCCCCACCCTTGACGATATCTGGACTTCAACAACTCTTTTTTACAAAGTGCGTCAAATGGCATTAGAGATGTTAGCTAAATTTCCTGATGTTCCTATGGGATAATGATTTATAAGTGTTGTGCTCTTATAGTAATTAGCAGAATCTATTTCACCGTAGGGTAAGTGACCTGCCCAGGACAAGAGTCAGGCAGAACTGGACTTTACACCATTAGCTCTAACAGCATACTTCCTGGATGCATGGTAGTATCAGCTCACCAACGTTGCCCAAGCCTAGATCTGCTTTGTAAGCGAAACAGTCCCCTACGTTAACTATACAGAACTATGTTAACTATACAGAATATATAGAGTCTGCAACCACTTTTTATCTGCAGCATCACAGAAAGCTACGCGTCTCAACTTTTTGCCAGCAAGTCAAAGTAACTTCATAGCACTCTTGCTTTTTTAGTAAATGAATCAGCAAGGCCGCCTGTTTCCTTTGTGTGTGTTTCAAGGAAGATGACACCAATACCTGACTTGGAAAGATAAGGATGTACAGGGTGAAGGAGAACAATTTTCTTTGTTTCAGAGTGTAATATTGCATGCACATCAACCTCCTCTGTGCCTGCCTTCTATGACACCCCTCCCCC